GTATACATACATGCATACATACTAAGGTCAGCATCATTTTAGGACGAAAACAAAAGTAATGATTGTTGGATATCACAGGTAAGCCTGGGGATGTATGGTCAGTCTTGGGAGTGGCATAGCCTGATCAACTATGCTGGTCCGAGGAGTGACTAGTATATGCCCAAGAATGGTTGTGATGTGGCAACAAGTCTAAAAACTTACCAACACTACCACAATGAAATACCATAGGGGTATTTTGGCATCATTATAATTACATATGTGAGAACTAAATAGATCTTTATCAATAGGTCAATAATTGCTTAGTGGATACATTAAAATTTTATGTATCCAGGACGTCATAGACTTAGAATCTGTGGATCTTTGCTCTACTTCCTGTTCTCGTTGGATTGGGGATTTAGAGTTAGGATCGCTTATTCGAAGGACTATCCTGTCCCGAATACATATAACTAGTATGCACTAAACAATATGTTGAAGTACCTGATAAAGATCATCATATAATTAGCCAATTAGTACTTTTGCTTAGTTATTTCTTATATCCCCATTTCTCGCGAAGATATCATGGCTGGATTCCACCCACACGACGACCCGTACTACCCTAACCACGACAATACCAAATGGCTCGGAGGGGAGCCAGAGAATGATTACCCAACCCCTGTGGATGGTCACCAAGCTGAAGGCTATGCTGATGGTTCTGACTCCGACCCTGAAGTGGAGAACTTAACCCCGATGACTCTTGTTCCGAATCCCAACCCTCGACCGGCTTTCAAGGCCCGACGCCTCCTTGGGTAGAGTGCTTGGAAACCTGGAGCAAAGAACAAGACCAACATATGTCGTTTAATAGAGAACAAAATTTCTACAACATAAACGAAGGAAGCTCAGCAGATAGAATTTTTCCAATCCTAGTCCATAGAGTTGCCCGAAACGAGATTCAGGGTAGAACAACTCTCCATAGTATCGCAGAGGTTGATGCAAATGCAAGAATACATACGATCCACACCAATCGCCTTGAACACACTCGTGAATTGTATAAGAGAGACCCTGAAACCTTGCTGCGAGCACAGGCTGAAACACGAACCGAAGTTATAGAACTCTGAGTACACCAGAGGGTATACAAAAGGCACCTGCCTGATATGGAGTGGCAACTAGTTGAACTGAGGGTTCACCAAAGGGATGATCGCCGCTAGTAGTAGATGCCTTACTTCCTTTCCCTATTAACAAGGAATTTTCTTTTCCCTATCTATGTCCTATGTGGCATCCTATATGAAACCATCTTGTACTGTAAGTACTTTTAGTTAGGCCTTGAGGCGGCCAAAACTCTCCTGCTCCGGATGTGATGTAAGACCCTCTCCAAGGTCAATTTTTCCCCAATTTGCTACATCTTAGACATCAATGACGTTCTCAGTCAGAATAATTCCGTGACACTCTTTGTTCAAATACTTCCTGATGAGTCTATCTGAAGCCCACTTTAGTCAAGTTGTTGGACTAGAGTAATTTAGCTCCGGGATCGTTCCCAATTTCTTTCAAAGGTTGAATCATGTTATTCACCAACCAATGGAACCCGGTTTGAACGAAAAACGTCATTAGATCATTCTCTGATCTTACTTCTACTCTATAGGTGGACAATCAAAATACATCTAGGTTCAATGATAGCCCTTACTAGGAATTCTAGTTCATCAAGAGGGATTAATAAGAATGTTATTTGTTATGATTTCCTCACATATACATTCCCCAGTTATATACAACGAAGACTTGGTAGACAATAGAATGTGAGATTTCTAACCTAGTTTCTTTTCCTCGTTGGGATGTGAAACTAAAGGAGAATCACACATTTTACTATCCGCCTAGTCTTGGTTATATCATAATGTGTATATGTTAAGTTTTCATGTATAATAACTTATCTTTAGTCAGAACCAAAATAATACAGAGCCAACCTTAGTCACTCACAATTTCCTTGTCTTTCGTATTACAGAGTCATGTCATCATCCGGAAATAATCAGCCGAACAATGAAGCCCCTAACCTTCATATCGACGCCGCAACATTTCAAGCCGCGGTAACAGTTGCTGTGACAGCTGTCCTTACAAACCTCCACACTAACGACGCAACCACGAATGACAAGGGAATTGAAAATTTCGATTGTTGTATCGATCTTGGAAGCCAACAAAGGACAACAGTCTCGGACATACAAAGTCGTAAAACCGAGAAGAGGAAACGAAATCGTCGAGCTCAAAAGGAGCGTCAACGATCCCAAAGACTTGCCATGCAACAGCAACAAGTGGCAACTCCTGCCCCTTCAGCAGCAGCACGACCAATTCCTAAATCCCTGGCATCGGGACAAACCCTGCACACAAGGTTGATGGGAAAACCGGACCCCATAAAAGGAAAGTTTCGAAGTGGATGAATGAGGAGGGCACCCGTGTCCATGTAACTCTAACTAAACACCTCACTTCCACCACCAATGCTAGTGCAAGCCAGATATGTCATCAATGCGGCGAGATTGGACACCTTAGAAAGGACTGTCCAATCATAAAGAACTCTGGTGCAGACGGGAGGATACTAAGGATCACTACCGCAGGAGAAACCACTTCGGAACCGCCCGCAAATATCGTACGTCTTTCTAACATCGACATTTAAATCCCGAATTTCTTTATATGCTAAATCTAGCATCGATTAAAGCATGCATAGTAGTAATCATGTGACATCGGGCGAGTTATTCCTCACCATAATCAAATTCTTGTACTACGAAAAGTCATCCCCATCTTTCCCCTAAATCCCTGGATTCCCATTCGAAATGCAAATTTCGGGACGAAATTCCCTTTAACGGGGGGATGATGTGACAACCGTCAAATTCTGGTCAATTCAAAGTCAAATAAAGTCAACAAGTCAAACCGGTCAGCTCAACTAACCCTTGTGTACTTGGACTTACGTTCAGTATTTACTAAACAACTCTCTATTCTAATAAGAAAACATAAATCGAAAAGTACGTACAACTAGATCTCTTTAACCTAAAAAACTGTAGTACATGGCGAGCCAAACCGATAAAACAATGATGCATACTCATCGGGAGTGTGTAAGATCCTTAAACAAGGCTTAACAGAGTTTACGAACCATGCATTGCGATGCCGGACACTTACAACTATCCCACACGGAACCTCTCTTAACCGTTTTCACTCTATCTCTCTCTCTATGTCAAATCTCTCCCAAATCTCTCCAAGAATGTCAAATCTCTCCCAAATCTCTCCAAGTATGTGAAATCTCTCTCAAATATCTCTCGGTAATAGAAATCTCTCCAAAGAATGTCAAATCTCCTCAAATCTCTCCAAGTGTGAGAAATCTCTCCCAAATCTCTCTCAAAGTTTCCCGTAACTTTT